CTCCTCCTCCTCTTCCTCCTCCTCCTCCTCCTCTTCATTCTCCTCCTCCTGCTTCTTCTCCCCGTGCCCCTCTGCCTCTTCCCGCGCCCGTTCCTCATGCCCCTCGCCGACATCTGTGTCAGCTCCGCCCCCTCCCCCTTCTTCGACGTCATCCAGATCAGTCTCGTCCTCGTCTACTTCGCGGTTCGCCTCGGACTCCGTCTCTTCGTCGTCGTCCACGTCGGCCGTTTTCCCTCCGCTCCCCCCTCGTGCCTTCTCCTCCTCCTCCTCCTTTTCCCTCTCCTGGTCCGGTTGGTCTGAAGTTCCCGCCGCCGAGGAACTGGGGGTGACACCGGCATCATTCTCGGAGGGACGCCCTCTTGTTAATCGCCGCCGCATGGTCACCTTGTACCGAGGAGGGGCGGGGAGAAAACGGCACGCAGGTTAGACAGAACGTCGTGTGCAAGCAGGCAGATGGGCTGGCGGCACAGAGACAGATAGCATGGTTGCAAGCATGTTAGGTAGTTCCGGACGGGGTGTGTGTGCGCAAGTGCTGTACAAATGGCAACTACCGGAAAAGAGGCATTGCATGGGCGGTTGAGAGAGCAAGCCACGTAGCATGTTTTGTAGACAAGGGAGGAGGCAGGAGGGGGAGGTGAGGAGAAAGACGATTCAAGCCCCGTCTCCAAACTGTTGTCATCTATCGCAGGTCGAGGGCAGCACAAACCACACGCACACATGCACAGCAGGATTTCTCCACGCGGAGGTGCTGTCTCTCCTTGCGCAGACCCTCCGAATCCAGAGCCTGAGCGTTGTCGTTCAGACTCCTCCCGGCCCACGAGCCCGTTGACAATAAGAAGGCGTGTTCGCGTTTTGGGTGCCACTTTGAGACATGTCACTTCAATGACCAGTCGGAAATCACACACACAGGTCAACAGCAGCGTACAGGAGCAACACTCAACCAGGAATCACAACCTAATTTTTCGGTAGCCGCTCATATAACCCAACGCGTGGATACAACAACCGGGTGTACCTACAGGAGCCACGCATCTGTACGCAATTTTGTGTCCCGCAGAAGAAAGGACACCTCGTTTCTGTACATACAAACAGCAGGTATTGTCTATTTTGGACACACTAAAGTCACCACCGAACGTGTACCGAATGGATGCCATCAGGTTTGTCTTGTTGCCACCTTCACCTTGGACACAGGAGCAGTCATATCCAAGGGCGGATGCGAGATTTGATGGGATGGACATGAGAGCAGCGGCAAGTCCAGAGCGGGAAAAACTCAAAACCTCCTCCTGAAACCGAGGCAAAGTCGTGCGTACCTGCCTCGACTGATTTTACCCTGGAAGCATCAGCAATCGCACGGGTAGGTGGGTATCTAACAAGAGGCTCGTTCGCTCCTGCCGGATTTGCTCGAGGCGCGATAGAGCTAGTCAGGGTTGAGAGAAAGACCTACCGGTACACAGCCTGCTGCTGGGTTATTCCCCGCTCACCGTTTTCTCGTCCGCGACGGAAGCAGCCGACGCGGTCGACGGATGTCTCGGCGGAAACCCCCCCGCCGCTTTCCCTCTCGACGAAGATTTATCCCCGGCAACACCTACTACCGCCGCCGCCGCCGTGGACACGGAGGAGTTCTTCTTGAACGGGGATGGTGCCTGAGGCTTGATTGGGCTTGGAATTGCCGAAGGGGGAGGCGAAGGCGGGGGGGCTTCCATCTCTTTTATTTCCGCCCATCGGAAGCTCTTGATGCCGTCCACCCCGGGGAGCTGGACCTTGTACCACCCCTGATTCTTGTCCACCACAGAACCTGGTTGGCGGGGATCAGGGGGACACGCAAAAATACAACAATATTCGCGACAGGGTTTACTCTACATATGGTCTGTTTCGGGGAGGTCGAGGGGCGTCAGCGTCCTCCCGATACGTACACGTTGATATCATGGGCGTGGAGAATAACATCGTTTGACAACGATGGCGTGATACTATACGCTGGGCGTGGGGAAGGGAAAGACGGTCATATTCGGGGGGGGGGGGNGGGGGGGGGGGGGGGGGGGGGGGGGGGGGGGGGGGGGGGGGGTCAGCTGTTGTTGTCGGTGCGCGCGCACTCCTGCCTCCTGTGCATACACGCGGTGCTTGACGTTGGTGTTGTGGACCGAGTTTCAGCGCTCGATTGTTCCACAGGACAATAATTACTCCATGCCGAAAAGGCCGGCGTTAGAACAGACGCACCGAGAGCTTTCCGAGTACAGTCGACCCCGCTTTAAGGAAACCAAAATTGAGGAAACTCCCCGGGTAAAGGAAACAATTTTTCGCCGAAACACAATACCCCGCAGAATGTAAAATACACGGGGGGTCCATATTCTAGTCCGCGGACCCCCCTTAAAGCACGTTTTCAGCGTACCCTCTTCGCCAGCAGAGAGATCTGCTGCTTCACCCGCTGTCTGCGGTATGCAAAGATTCGTTCCACCTACCGGTGCGTCCTCTGCACCTGGGTTAAAACGGTGTGGGGAACCCACGTGCACGATCACGAAGCTCGTGTCGGGTATCCACACATGCCCGTGCGGTCGATGGATGCACGCGTTTTGTGGTCGCGGCATCGGGAAGGAAGGCTACGGACAGCAGAGGGAGTGCACGGAATGTCAGAAGACAGCACCCGGAACCAAGACCGGCAGCTCTAGCGTCCCATGGAAGTGGATGATGATGACGAGCAGGAGAAAAGCAGGTGACTTACTGGTATACAGCAGTCCTTGGTAGCGGGGCAATCTACTGCTGCTGCTGCTGTACAGAGCGGAGCGTCTACCTGCTGTAGTGCTGCACGCATCGGCCAAAATCTGATTGACCGTCAATCCAGGACATGTCAATGCACCGCCCTCCGTTCCTATTTGGGTTCATACGTCACACGCAACAAAGTGTAGCGTTGTTTTTGTACAAAATCTTGACTCCCTGTGCTGCGACAAAAAGAAGACATGTGTAAAAACATGTGTAAAAACATGCGTAGAATACCGTATNATTGTGTTTGTACAAAACCTTGACTCCCTGTGCTGCGGCACAAAAAAGACATGTGTAAAAACATGTGTAAAAACATGCGTAGAATATGTGTGACGACACACACACACGAAAGTCGAAGGCGAAACAGCGAGACGGCGCCCGTGCTGGGATGGAATCGTACTTGTTCCTTCCCAGCAGTTCTCTCTGGCGCGTAGACTACATGTCTGTGCTGCTGTGATATTGCGTGCACGTGCTGCTCCGCGGGATACTTTTCGCACATCACAGGAGGTTCTTTTTTGTTGGTGCTGTGGGCATGAAGAAACATAAACCATTTCCTCTTTCTTATTGTCGAAAATTCTTGCCTTAGATGGTGTGGGCGCGAAGGAAATAGAAATTTGTCGAGCAAACACGAGTTTACCTTGTGTATGTATACGACAAGACGCTCGTATGTACCGGTGCACTCGTGTGAGCCGCTGCTGCGCAATAGTGGGCTGTGCTGCCCCAGCAAAACACACGTGTTCTCCTAACATCTGCAATCAAAACTACATTCGTGACCACCTCATGGAGTCTGATTATTGTCTCTTTTCGTTTCCACTACGTACCGCAGAACGGCACAGCAGCCGGCAAGGAGCAAGAAGCGCGAAGGCGATGCAGGTGCGGGCGGAGGCGGTGGGGCGAGTGGTGGCGGCGGCGGCGGCGGCGGCGACAATGCCGCCGCGGCCGCCACCAAGAAGCGCAAGGCGTCAACCCCCGGGCCGGACACTGGCAAAAACAAGCTCAACTTACGGCAGCGGCACGAGCTCGTCAACGAGGTCCAAGATGGTGGTGTCAGGGCAAAGGTCGCGGTAAAGTACGGCGTCAGCAAGGGGTACGTCACAAAGCTGATGATGCCCGACAACGTCGCTAAGCTCAACAAGGCGGTCCAGATGGAGCTCAACCCGGAGGCCCGCCGCGTCCCGGAACCGGTGGAGGCGGAATTGGAACAGCGTGTTCTCAAGTGGATCAAGATTGCGCGAGAGCGATTCATGGTGAGGGCTGACGTTGGACGCCGGGTCGGATAAATTGTGTATTGATATGGTGGGCAGCTTATCAGTTGTACGTCCCTCATTTGAGAATTTCCGTTTGCGTTTTGTTGGGAATGATTTTCGATCGCGTCAGTCCTTTCATGTCCCCACACATCATGGTACCGACCTGCCTTCAAAATACTATGCATCTACAACTGCAGCCGCTGACGTCCGTTTCTTGCTCCTGTTGCCGTTGCTCTTCCCTCTCTACAATTTTGCAGACAACAAAGATCGGGCTGAGCGGCACAATGATCCAACATCGGGCCGTGAAAGTCGCGTCCGAGATGGGCATCAAGTTCGCTGCGAGCAACGGTTGGCTTCACCGCTTCCTCAAACGCTACCAGTTGAAGCATATCAACCTGCACGGGGAAACTGGCGACGTGGACCAGGAGAAGGTGCAGGAGAAGATTGCGCAGATTCGGGAGCAGCTGAAGGAGTTTGACGTCGAGTTCATCTTCAACATGGACGAGACGGGGCTTTTCTACCGCTGTTTCCCGAGAGGCACGTACGTCACGAGNTGCACGGGGAAGCTGGCGACGTGGACCAGGAGAAGGTGCAGGAGAAGATTGCGCAGATTCGGGAGCAGCTGAAGGAGTTTGACGTCGAGTTCATCTTCAACATGGACGAGACGGGGTTTTTCTACAGCTGTTTCCCGAGAGGCACGCACGTCACGAGGCAGGAGGACGCTGCTGGCGTCAATAAAAAAACGCGCGGGGCTCGAAGGCCATGAAGGTCAAGGACCGGTGCACCGTGGTGGCCTGCTGCAATACAACCGGCTCGCTGATGGTGCCGCTGGCGTCATTGGCACGGCGGCAAATCCGATGGTTTTTCGCAAGGTTCGCGAGCCACCTTGCCCCTACTACGCCCAGGCCAGCGCCTGGCTCGATGCATCCCTCTGCCAGAGGTGGTTCGACGAGGTTTTCGTCCCGTTCGTCAAAAGCAAAACCGCGAGGAAGGTGGCCCTCATCTGGGACAACTGCCCCGGCCACAAGATCATCAACAACGACCCGCAGATCGTCATCATCTTCTTGCCGCCCCTTGTCACGTCCGTTTTCCAGCCGATGGACATGGGGGCCCTCTTCACCCTCAAGTACCAGTACAAGACCGAGATGGTGGTGAAGCTGTCGGACGTCATCGAGGACTGGGACACCGTTCGTGCGCGCAACATCCCCAGGTAGGAAGGTGAGCTAGCCTGAGGTTAGTTTACGCATTGATACTGATTTTTGTAAGAGAATCGTGGTGGTGGACACGTTTGTCGATGGCTCCCATTACACGAGAACGTCCTCAAGAGGAAGGACACGCGGCTCGCTGGAAAGGACAACGGGAAGGGGGGGGAGCTGGGGGACAAGGGGGGGGACACGGGCGAAAGGGGATTCATCGATGGCCTTTGCGACTTGGTCGCGAAGCTGTCGATGCCAGACAGCGTCGACGTCACCGACGCCAGAAAAATTCCAGGGGTGATGACGGACAATTTGTTTGTCGAGAAGAACTCGGGCCTCACTGATGTAGAAGTGCGAAAGGCAATTGAGACGTGGCTTTCCGTAGAGGATAACCCCAGCGTGTTGGAAGAAGAGGTAGCTCTGGAACTGGAGATTGTGGAGCAGAACATGGCAAACTTGGAGGTTGATGCCTCTTCTGACGACGAAGATGGCGGGGATAGGCCAGCCTCGTGTATTACATCTTCGATGACAGAGGCTCAGGTCCGCGCTAGCTTAGAGAGTGTTCGCTCCTACTTGTGCGCCAATGGAAAGGATGGCGAATACCGCGAAACCCAGCACCTCCTTTCGAAAACGGCGCATTCGTCCACGCATGAAACACAAGTCAAGGGCAGGTCCAAGGAGGGGGGGGAGCTGCAGGCAACTCTTCGCGATATGTGGAGGAAGTCGTAGCGTTGAGTGTTTGCGGTTTGTCGGCCATACGCCGTATTGTGTGCTTGTGTCTGAATGGCGCTCCAGTAGAGAGTAAGGCAGGAGAGTTTCTGCGTGCGCTCCCCCAGGGGTAAGCAAGAGTCACCAGGTGAATTTGAAGTGTCCATCAGGTATTTTCCGTGCTGTGTGGTGGTGTTCAGCAATAAACAATTATTTTCTCGCCGACTCCCAGCCTCTTTTTTTATTCCAACAATGCCCTGCCCAGGGCGCACCTTTTGACGTATGTACCGCCACCATTGACCCCGGGGATGGTNAGTTTCTGCGTGCGCTCCCCCAGGGGTAAGCAAGAGTCACCAGGTGAATTTGAAGTGTCCATCAGGTATTTTCCGTGCTGTGTGGTGGTGTTCAGCAATAAACAATTATTTTCTCGCCGACTCCCAGACTCTTTTCTTATTCCAACAAGAGTCAGCCAAGTACGAACAAACTCCTTCGAGTGTGGTCGAAGATGGACTGCATCTTTGTACAAGCCCAACATGCCACCATGTAAAACACACTGCTGCTGCCGTTCACCTGTCGCCGCCCTTCCACGTCTACCTGTCCATGACACATGCTGCCACTTGATGCGACAACATCTGGGAACAACACGGGCACAGGGAGTACTCCCCCTACCCATACACAACACCGTCAAAACTGCTTGTAAGCTAGAACAACCTCTCATTCCTCCCTTTCCATTCTCTCTTTCTGTGCCAGATGGCCTTGTCTCTGCATGCGTTGTGATGTACCAAGATTGAACCAAGGGGGTGTACCTCATTCTCTCCGGCCCGTGATGGTGACTCTTAGTCTCAGTTGTTACCTCGTATAGCGCGCAGAGGGAGTGGAGGACTCCAGAATATCTGTCGTTGATTTCTATTGATTTGCGGACCCCTCGGAGCAACTTTATTTGAGTGTACCTTTTTAGGGTAAGTCAACCTGCGACCACGGGAATCGACCGCGTCGAGTGTTGGATCAGTGCGGACATACGAAGGTACTGGGT